TCCCTCTGGTATCTTTTGCCTCTCTTCTATGTCAGCGCAAAAAGTAGAAATGGCTTTTCAAGAGGATGTAGCTAATGTATTGAAGGGATTAGGATTATCCGTTTGTTTACAAGATATGGTTCACGCAATAACCGTTGAAAGTTCGTATTAAGTTTTTAAGGTAAAGGTCAATTTAAGAGATATGCATACAAATTTGTTATTAGAATAAAAGGATATTTTTGGGGTTATCTAAAAGATAGGATAAGTTATGATACAAGCTTAAATATTTATGTTTAAAAATAAAATCATTTGTTAAAAGTTTGAAGTAGCTAGTGTTTCGTTTAAAAGTACATATGGTAAAAACTAAAATATCTAATAGTATAACATTTTTTTCTCATTAATAATGGTTTTGGTTCATATTTTGAACTGTTTTCTAACGATAAATTCAATCATTCTAGAATATACAAATTGTATGTAAAATGAGTTAAGCACGGTATATGAAGATTGAAATAGAACCCTTTTGATGTGGTCCGTGTTGCTCAGTCTTAAGTTTTACTATGTTGTGTTTATTGTACTGTTTATTGTACTGTTGTTTGTCTGTTGGTCTTTTTCTTTTTTAGCCATGGCGTTGTCAGTTTATTTTCGAGTGTAAATGTCACTTTGGTATCTTTCTCCTCTCTTCTGTAGATGAAGTTAAGGGTACATATGTTTGCGATGTCATAGCCATTGTTGATTATGGTTTACGCAGTTGGGAAGTGCTTTAGCACGTTTGTTTAGAGAAAACAAATAATCTATATATTTAGAATCCAACCCCTTCTTCGGATGATTATCATAAGTGGTGTTAAGTAATGAAAATGATGCAGGTTGTTGAATGGTGTTAAGTTATACCTTTATTACATAATGTTTAATGAATAAGAGAGAATATCTTCAGAAAATAGCACATAATTTGTAAAAATTGATATGTTTGGCCCTTAAGGATTTTAAGTATGTAGGTGGTAGATTGATATTTGTAACCAATGAGAGACATATTAGAACTTCAAGTATAATAACAAAGTGTAAGTGAAACGGATAATTGATATAAAATGAAACCTAGCATGAAAGTCAAATGGAAGTTTTTGTCATAAACACTTGTGAGGTTAAAATAATAAGAATAAAATGGATAATTTAGGATTTATGAAATGAATTTTAAGAAATGTGTATTATTCATAAATGAGCATATTAACAACAATGAATTGTTTTAAAAGATGTGAGATCAGTTTTAGATAAAATGATTAAAAAAAAGTTATTACAGATACATACTGCAATTTATAAAAAGGATAGGCAATAAGTTTGTAAGTTTAATGCAAATTTTAAAAAGATATATAAAAAAGAGAGGAAAATTTCGGAATAGGAAGACGATATATCATTAATAGAAATATTTCAAAAGGATTTTTTTTGCACAAAATGATGTTGCAAATAGTGTTGTGCAGGACGTAGTTTAAACTTTTATCACAGGAATCTGAAGTTTTAAAGATTAATGAAAATAGATATGTCTATTAATAGTGTTAAGATTAACGAAAAACAAAAATGAAGAAGTAAACGTACTACAATGGGTAACAAAATTTAGTGACACATAACTTTTAGTAAAAGTTTTTGTGTAGGTGTAGGGTTCGGTTAAATGTTTGAATTATCTTTTGCGATTGTAAATTTATATATAAAGATATATCTTAGTCTTGTATAAATAAATACATATCATTGTTACATGTAGGATTGCTCAAAGGGACGCAGTTGTATAGTTCATTATTTTTGTTAATAGATTTTTTGACACTTTGTTTTTCTTTTTAGTCTAATCATATAATTCAGCATTAAAGAGATCATGTTGTTTCCTAAGATTAAAAATAAAATTTCATTAAAATAGCACTACAAAGTGAACTAAAGGCGATTAAACAAATCATTATGGTTACTTAAATTGTGAATTTGAAAAGTTTAGGAGAATTGAAAAAGTATAGTTTTTCCAAATTGGGATAAGTTTATCAGTTGGGTTAGGTGCGATCTTTATTGGATAGCCAAATTTTTGTACTGTTAATATAATAGAAATAATCTTGGTTAGCGAAAATAGAAAGATGTAGGTTCGAGTTCTGATGCCACAAACAATGGGTACCATATAGTATCAACTCTAACTGTTGAGATAGATGTGACGGATTCCAGACAGATGTGTCCTCTGCACCATTGATCAAGGACGAAGTAAACTAAAGACCAATACTACGAGTCTATTGAGAAACATGTACCAAGGGCTAATTACGTTGACAACTTAGTAGTTGGACTATATTGTTTGACCATCACAACGTTGCAGAGAGAACTAACTAGCGTAAGAAAAACCTTGTAAATAAACTGTGTATATAAAATTGAATTGCGAACCTTTAGAAAAATATGAACTGTTATGATGGTCGCGGAAGAATTTTTACAAGAAACTTCCCAGATATAACATTACTACTTATAACCGTATACATGTAGGAAGATGGAAACATGATGAACAGTAAATTTAAAACCAAACTTTCGTTCTTGTTGCAATTGAATTTAACACAATTTGGATTCGAGCAATACTCTAATTATTACATACATACAAATGTGTATTTCATTAACAGACTTTACATTTTGTTACACAATCATATTTGACATTCGTACATGTATTACCTCAATTACTCTGATACATGTATCCTGCAGCAAATTAATAACCTTGTACAAACAAGGAAGATTGAACAGTATATAAAAACTAGGAAAGAAATAGAAAGAGGAGATTCCGGAAGATATCTTAAACTGAACATGTTTAGTCCGCCGTAGGCTCATTTGCCATTTTCCAAAGTCATGTCCGTAATCACTGCCTAGACTCAGACGTATAAGAATTTTACATATGGTATAGACTATGGTCATTGAAAACCTTGACATGACTTTGTAATTATGTTCTCAATATTTGTCTTTACTGTCTCATTGTTATTGACTAAACATGTAACTCATTTTACGCAATAAAATGTGTATATTTATTTCATGTTATTTGCTCAAAACTTTATGAAAATTAAGTGATTTTAAAAGTTCGTGGTGTAATAATTTGTACAAGTGCTGATTTGTGCTTACAAGAAAACAGCGTGTCTGCATAAATTTAGAAATAAGTGCGTACAACAGATATCGGGATTATGTTAGTCACGTAAAAAAAGATAATAAATATATATTTACAATTAAAAAAAAGAGCCCAGTAAGTTTTATTAGCGAAATTTTAAACCCGAACGTTGAAGTATTAACAAGAAATAATATATTCCCGAGGTACATAAGTATAACGACAATTGAATGTCATTTGCGCATGTGTAATACATGTGCATGTAGACGTATTCATTTTTAGTGCCAAAAATTTATGTTGTAAAGCGACGGCTTCATGTATTTAATTCTAGTCTGTACTTCATACTGTAAACATCGTATTCTATGCAGTACTCGAGCTGGTCAACAAACAAGTTTGTGTTGTGTTTTTCATTCAGTAGTTTGGTTTAATGTATTTAGTGGAAAGAAGACTAAGTACAATACCTTAGAGAGTCGATTTCATTATAATGGTCAACTGCGTGCTTTCTATTGAAAAAGAGAAAAAAGCTAATTTTGCTGAATTAAAATTGCAACAAACGTCAAATCAAACAGACAAGTCTGGAAAACGTAATACATTTTACTACTTAGCGGGTTCTCGGCTGACTACTACACTTTATTCGTAACGTAAATGCAAGCGGATTCCAGTTTATCTAACTACCGACAGAACTTGATAAAATTCCGCACCCGATTCAAGTAATTTCAAGAGCAAATAATTCGACAGTCAGTTAACACTTTTGACGGTCCAGTCTATTATTTTTGTAAGGTTTATAGTGCTTTTAACCCTGGTTATTTAATCTTATTTTCTTTTTAACAATAAGCCTGTACGGTTGAAATCATGACTATACGTTCTGGTGAGGAAATTTTTTCCGAAAAAAGTTAGTTTAAATGAATTTTGTTTTCTTTCAAGTGTACCCTGAAGTAGTTAAACTTATCACATTGATCCCCACCCTCTAATACGAGATTGATGTGTTAACAGTTTGTGATGGTTGTCCCTTTTCCTTAAATATCACAGCGTAGACCTTTCCTATTTTCAAAAACAAAACTGTTTTTTCTTCTTTGATGAGTTATAAAAAGCTGTAATTTCAAAAGCAAGACCTCATCATTTTTCTTAATCATGCCATTGTCCCACCATTAAATATTAAATTTCATGTATTTTGTCCGATGTTTATGATAGCAATTGTTTAAGTTGTCTAAATGAATTATGTCAACCTTTACGTAGATTAACAGTTCCACAACTCCATTTTTGTGAATTTTATAATACCATGGCTGATTCTAAACAGTTGATCAAGTTATAAATGCAAAAACCTCAAGTTTGACAGACTTTTGAAAATTACATATGAGTGTCTATCCAAAATTCATAACCAGAACTAAATTTATGTTGGAATTAAAGTTGTATATTGTCTTTCTGATACATATTATTTCATTTGATTACTGAATGACGCCCTTCGGTACATTTTTTTACAATAACATTAAAATGTTGTATCAAAATGACTTCAACAGTAACACTTAGCGCCGAATTCCTTTTTGATTTTATTGAAACATATTGAAAATTAATTGAAAAAGTATATGATAATTATATAGACACTCCAATATTCAAATTCCAGTATTTTTTTACAACTTTCAGATTTTGACTTTGTGAGTGAATCAAATTCAATCATATATATACAGTGGAAATATTTCATATTCATTCTTTAAGTCTCAAGTCAATTTTTGCATGAGCAATGTTTAAACATAATGTTGACAGAATTTGACGTAAAACTTGCACATTAATAGCAAAATGAATCGTTACCTGAAACTATCGATGATGCCATGTATAACGACTATACATTCTATGCACTAAAAGGTGAATATATCTATTGACAAGAAAATCCTTTCAAGCATTTGACAAACAAAAAAAAAAAACAACAAAAAAATAAGGAAAAGACAACACTTTATTGCTGTTTTATATATGCGTTTATAAGAAATTATTTTTTAATAGTTATCAACCATTTCTTCTATACAATAATATAATAAGCAAATTGTGCATCGGACTCCGTGTATTTAGTATATTGTACGTTTTATCTCAGTTGTTCATTGGTCGGAATTCAATTATGACGTCAGATTTTCTTGCCTTCCTCAGATTTTACCAGTCACGTTTTTTTTTTTAAAGATTATTGAATATTACAGATTATTGAATATTCATGATTATTGAATATTAAAGATAAAGTTCACCTTTATATCGTCTCAAAGTCGTAAGAGAAAAAGTTTCCACAACCGAAGCTCGTGCAATACGATATTTCTCCACTAACGACAGTTAAATTTTAATCGCTCGACAAGCCTCATGTTAAAATTTGAAAAGGAGAAGGTCCGGTAAGTGTCTACTTCAGTCGATTCAATTAGTTTATGTAAAGGATTTGAACTGATTTGGTCATTAGAGAAGCTCAAATTCACGCTTTAATTTGCAAAATCTATCAAAAATGCCATAAAACGTCATTTTTCAGATGGTTTTTGTCTAAAATGGAAGTGGCCGCATTCGTGTTCAGTCTCAACCTTTATATATGTTATGTATTATCATCAAATACAACATATGTTTAAATATTAAGACTGAACACAAATGCGGCCACTTCCATTTTAGACAAAAACCGTCTTAAAATTAGCACAAATGCTAAAATTGTGAAAATTTCAGTAATAATGGATGAATGATGCTATTACTTGCTGCATGTGCATTGTATTGTAAAAAAACAGCCCATATTTATGGAACAGAAGTATTCTTCTTTCCAATAAATAGCTAAAAGTTTACATTTTAACATATTGGTAAAAATGCTATATTTTGGGGCCAAAAAGGGGTCTTACCGGGCCTACTCCTTTAATTGTTTTGAGTGGAGAAATATCGTACCACACTTGATGCGTTGTATAATCTATATATATTATATATTCTATATAAGAATATATTTACACAAAAACTACATTCAAGTTCATATATTATTCCTATGTAAACCATAATAGTTCAACTTTATCATTTATCTAAATACTAAAAGCCAATGATTGATCGATTGATCATGTGACATAACTACTGATGGTTCCGTAGCCTTTAAACTTTGACTGGTATACGTCATCAAATCAGGAATTCACCTGCGTTCACAAATATTCATGATTGGTTTATGTTTTTCTCACAACAAAACATGTAGATATTACAAATAAATGCTCATTATTTCAATGAAATTTCATTGATAAGATTAATATATGAGCTTCTTCGGATAGAAATCGACATTATGCAAATGACTATCAATATGTTTGTTATTCTATTCCAGGTTGACAAAATCTCTATGGAAAGTCTGTAACTGTTTGAAAGTTGAGTTGTTATAAGAACTCTACAAAACAGACCACAATTCATCTTTTATTGCGTATTTGAATGTTCCAAAATCTACTACATGTACATGTATATATGCACTTGCATAAGGTCGATTATATGAATAGATAAAGTATGCAATTTTGTACTCGATAGTGTCAGGGTATGTATACAGTAAATACGTTTCAAAAAATCGGAGTCATACAGAACAACTCAACCTTCAAATAGCTGAAATTTGGGGAAAGCATAACTACGAATTTCATACTCGTAAACATTACTCATCTGTTAGGCATTGTTGAAACGAACATATTTGACAGCATACTGTCATGGAATGTAATAGATTATTGTTCTAGTCTTCAGCTAAGCATTGCATTCGAATTTACTTGGTCAAGAATCAATTTAATTACAAATCATAGATCTGGAACTTTAGACTTTTTTATTGATAAATGTTTAGTCGTAGTTTGGCTACAAATATTCTTATAATAATAATAATAATAATTATAAAAATAATAAAAAAAAAAAAACCAAAAATTAAACAAATAACCTTGATTTATATTAAAACTCATTAATAACTAATCTAATCTATCTATTTTATATGAGAAAAAAAGAAATCGCAATTGCCGTTAGTAATGTTTTCTGTTTCAACGGAATATTTCTTAATTTATTTGTGTTATTTTTAAGCTGATGGATAAAACTTTCAAAAACTATACTGGTCCATTAGAGCTTCCGCCGCCTCTTCTTTTCCTAACAAAAGTAACACAGGACACCAGGACAATAATCAAAATGAAGGCCACGCCTGCCGATATACCAACAAGAAATGCACTCCGAAATCCAGAAGACCAAACACTTGGTTTTTGTTTAAGCCAATATGGATCAGTGATTACCGAAACAGTAACAACGTTCGAAATATCTCCGGTATTATTAAAATCATCAATAGCTCTTACAATTACAAAGTAGGTTGAATTTGTGCCTACGGTGTTTAGTTTGAAAGTGAAGGACTCCCCACTTCCGGCCTCGTTTGGGATCTGTCCTGAATGTAAAACTACTTGTTGATCTGGAATGGTTGTAATTTTTGTGAAGTCTTCGGAAATTCGTAAATCATATGCAATTGCTGAAAAAATAAAAATATAGTGTTTTTAAAATGGGAAAGGAGTAGGTATGATATGAGCCGTTTTTGTTTCAAATCGTAAAATTTTCAACGTCTTTAAAAATAATTTTAATTATTATTGAATAAGATGGGTGGTAGTGTCTAATATTTTGTTGAGATTTAACATTTGTGATAACATTATAATGTTATAAACATGTTGGAACTGACATAATTGACCTAAAACGTGCAATTTGCACAAAATTCTTGTAAAAAATAAACGATAGTAACAGCTTTAACCTTAAAGATAGTACACCATCCTATTGAAAAATATACTTTTGGACAAAGCTGTTCTCATTTTTCTCATTTGAATGACAATATCACGGAATAAGGCTATTTTGACAGTTTCTGTAGTTTCCTTAAAATTCAAGAAGTTTAAAAGGACAATGAAAAGCAAATATGTAAATATTTAATGAATATGAATAACAGAATTATTTGTTGCTAACATCTGAAGTGTATTTTTTGATGGATTTATAATACATTTTGAGATTCGATTTCAAGGGATCCTTAAAGTGGCATTTTACTTTCTCCTTTCAAATTGATGACTTTACTAAATCCCATGCAAAACGTTCCTTAAATGTAAAAACGTCAGACTGTAACTTGCGTTTCATGACGTGTCATTTTGTTGAAAGTTAATATGAGATTAACACTGACTGGTACATTTGATAACTTGATAAAACTATGAAAATATAGGAAAATTATTGGAATCATCACTAAAATCACCTTTGATAAGACTAACCCAGTTGTACAGTCTTTAGTTTTCTATGCAGTGTTTTGTGAACTAGTGTTGTCTTTTTGTTGTCTTTCGTTTTTTGCCATGACGTTGCCAGTTTCTCTCAATGTATGAGTTTTGGATGTGCCTTTAGTATCTTTAGCCTCGCTTCCAATACAACGGTATAAAAATTCTTAAATTACATAAATAAATATGGGAAAGTTTCATTAACGAATTGATGGTAATAGGTGCAATTATCAATCAAAGATACCTGTCCCAGTATCAAAATCATCACCAACTGCCGTCCATCCTAATGTGAACATGTTATTATCAGTATCTACTTTACTGAGATGTAACGTCAGTATTGGAGATGGTGGGATGACATCAACATCGCTGTCAGATTGGACATAGTTGGAGACAACAACTTCATTTGCCAAAGTAACTCGCATAAATGGACCAATCGACTCCTCTTTTAGTTCCACTAAAGAAAAACAAAAATATTCCCGTTTACCAAAAAAAATAGTACAACTGTGATCAGTTTGAGAAAAAATCCCTAGTTTCCAGTTTTAAGAAATCCTAAAGATTAATTTAGTTATTCTTTTATCCTTATTAATCTATCCACAATAACATTTGTATTTTACTATATATAATGATCCAAAATGAATTCACCGTCTATTTGTTCGATGTTAAATATCAACGACTTAATCAATTCTGACTATATACTTAAAATTGCATAGGAACATAAAACAAGCAGACCTTCTTCATAGGCTTCTGAGAAAGCCGTCGATACAGGTTTAGAAATAACGACAGCTGCATCATATCCTTCTGTAACTATTTTAATACTATGTCGACCGTCGGCTGTGATAAGATTTGGTAGAATGTATCCAGAATAAATACCATCTCCAGCTTCAACATCTGCACCTATAAAAACATCGTAAGAAATTCTATAATATGATGAAAAGAATCTACAATTTAGAATACAACCTAAAACACACCGTTTCCATTCTACAATCTATTAAAATCTAAATCTGATATTAAAACGAGACAAGGAAATAAAATATAATAGAATCAGATCAGATCAATACATGACTGTTTTCATATCAGATGTCACAACAGCCCTAAATCATGGTATCAGCCCAAGAGCTAAGGCCTATTTACTCAATCTCATAGTTATGTCTAGCCTTAATAAGGTGATTAGTAGATCAGATCAGTGTTTCCTCAACTTATTATATTCGGGACAATTAAGAGCTTCTTGTTTACAGTTTGAACACTCACCAACAGCATTATCCTTCAACAGCAAAGACGATGATTGCCCATTTTGATTTTCAATGTAAGCTATAACAGAGGCTCTGATGATTGGGTTAGCTCCCCTAAGTACAGATACATATAATGGAAACTGTAGGTTTGATGTGAAATTAAAGTTGGATTTTTCAGTCATTACGTCTGTTTGTAGAACACCTGCATTAATATGCCTGGCCCTTGATTGAATACTTATCGTTCCGACCACTCCATTGAAGCTAGATGTAATCCATACCATATATTCACCAATCTGAAAAAAGTCTCGTATAATTGATATTTACTCACTCTCAACAAATGCAATAAAACAACTGTAGTTAAGTGGTTGGTTCACTCTACTTGCATGAACAACTAACTTATGAACCCAATACATACTTAATCGGTTGTTCAATCATACAGAATAAACAAAAGGCCGAACTCCAAGTTAAAATAAAAAAACAGAGGGCAGTCCATTTAACCTGACAAAACGAATGAAAAAAATGATTTATATTGACCTTGGTTTTATTTAACTATTAGAATTAAACTTGGCAAAACTGATCACCATTACCGTGAAACTAACAATTATTTATCAATTTAAAGTCGTGGTTTTAAAACAATACAATATTAAAGTTTAAGCTGGAGTCAATATTCAAGATAAAAAGTTAGTATGGTTGAAATCACAACGTTCATTATCAAATTATAGGAAAGAACCGAAAGCCTAGGATTTAAAGAAAGATTTAAGATTTAAAACAAGGTGAAAGTTTAGCATCCAGGAAACACAAACAGCAATTTTCTATGTTATTGGAAGATATTCTGCTTTTGCTGTACTTGTTCGTAAATGTATAAGTTTGATAGATACCTACCCCTGCGATACCAGGAATCTTTACGGCAATACCACCTACATCTGAAGAAGCACCTATAATTGTATATACGTCTTCCTCATGGGAAACAGTCAAATTCACATTACGTAAGTTCTCTGCAATCATCTGAACTACAGTTTCACGACCTACTGTTCCATCAATATAAAACTTTTCTTCAAAAACGTCATTTTGGTCTTTTGTGTCAACATGAACACTTTTGATCTAAGAACAAAATCTTATTATGTTATCACTTAATTGCAATTTTTATTATTAAAAGAAAGAAGGAATTCATATTAACTCTTGTTCTTCCAATGAATTAAAGCAATCTCCAGGCCGGAGCATGTAAGGAAAGGATATGAACTCTGCGCCGGAGATTAGAATTAAGGAAGTTGTGGGGTATACGCTAATGAAACAGCCACCCAATAAAACAATACACAAAAAACTAACTCACTGAGATCAAGGATTTATGTAGTATGTCTTACTACAATGTATTTAAATCATCGCTGAGATATAGCTGAAGCCCGCCTCCGGGTGCGGGATTTTCTAGCTGCATTGAAGACTCATTGGTGGCCTTGGGCTGTTTTCTGCATTTTGGTCGGGTTGTTGCCTCTTTGACACATTCCCCGTTTCCATTCTCAATTCCATTCATTAAACCTTTCACTTCTGTTTTGTTCAAACTCTCAGGAATTGTAAGAATAGTTCTTTTCACATAATTTATATATCCAAAGTCCAAATACCCATACGGATTTTTAAACAGCAGTGGCTTGTGTACTGGGTAGATAGTTAACATACTTAACTAAAGGAACGGATTTAACAGTTTTGCTGGAAAACACGTGTCTCAAACAGAAAGAGATAAATTTTAGATTGTGCAAGTTGTTCTCACATTAGCATATAAACTCTTACAAGCATAGATCTGTTTTGTCTTATTTACAATTGCATTTTCTATGCACTTTGGAAAAAAGTAAATTCTCCCATTCATAGAATTATTGAAAATCCATGACGTCACAATATTAATACTAGATACTTATTGTAAAGACGTAACAGTTGTGTTTTATCGTTATTTAGTCTGCAACCTAAACCCGTCCAGAGCCTTTTGTATTCTAAATCAACAATTATTGACAATGGACAAATTCGGAGTTTTTTATTCAAAAATAGAGAATGACTAAGATTATATTCAAATTTAAAGTGTTCTTAAGACTCGAGCTTGTGCGTGAAACTTTTCGGTATTGTAGAAACTCTTTTGAATGATAATGTATGATAATTATCCATACTTTCCAAAGACGCAGGCTCTTTAAATAAGGATAAGATATTGTTTATATAAACCTTTCATATAAAATCCAAATTCGTCTTGGTTTTCCAACTCGATGAAAACATTTTTTGTATAAACCTTTCCACATTTTATCGAAATCCGTAACGAATTGCAACGACGAGAGCGCTTACATGGCATTTTTTCAATCAATAATATTTGGAAGGGTATCAACTACTTTAAAATTCTTGATAACCACTGGTTTTAATTTAATTTAGATCGAGATGTTGTCGATATAATTGTCACCAAAATTCTTCATAAACTATAAGAGTTTATAGCCAGTTAATATTCCCATAGCGCATAACCCCATATTTGTTTTCGATTGGCACTTGCGTTTTGTTTGATTGATATATTGTTGATATAAACCTCCAATATGTATACTTTTTTGTCTTCAAAATCCAAATAAACTGTAAGAAAAAGTTGGCAATAAAGGTTAGCTAAGCATTTCTTTGTCCTCGTTCCGCTTTGCGGCGATGGACAAAATATCCTAATTGGAAAAATCCTTTTTAAATCGCTTTTAAAACCCATTCAAATAAATCAAAACATCGAAATCATTTCATAAATACCCGTATAATAGCATCACTCGATAAATCCTTAAACGGCTCAGTCAATGCATCTAAAAGCGCTGTTGAATTATCCGTTGATGCTGAATAAAAGTAACTCTTTCCGCCAGTTGCAGAGGCGAGGTCTTGGATTTTTGGATCTGCATCATTACTTATTGCTAAGCTATGAATAGTTATTCCATTCGATACCAAAGTTGGTTGCACATCCGCTATTAATGGGGCTTCATTCTCTTCACCATCTGTAGCTAAGTAGATAATTGAACCATTTGCATTGCCAGGGCTTGACAGTGCCTTAAATATCAGAATATTTGTATCAAGATTATGTATGAATAAACTCTTAGGGAAGTCAGTCATAGAACAAAAGCCAGTTGCAAATTCACGCCTGCAAATTTGGACACATCATAGACAACATTCTGTACACGTTTCTTTCTGACCCAAGACATAAGCCTTCGCTGTCAAGTATATTCACACTATTTGCATCTCCAAAGTCCAAATATATATAAAAACTACCGATGGTATTGGTCACATTACCAAGGAAAATCATATATACAGCATACCATTACATAACATTAGCTAGGTAAATGTATATTTTCGAAGAACCCGTTTTATATTTCTGAAAACTAGTTATTTGTATTTAACGTTATTTATACTAAATCTGTTAGTTACCACCAATCCACTGATGACTGATCTTATTCGATGATACAACCTGGAGTAGAAACCTTAGTTCTAGAACATTTTACATAATTTCTTGAGATTTATTTTACAAGCAAAATGTATAAGTTGATATTTGTTAAAATAAGCTTAAAGTTCTTAAATCGTTACGCTACCTCTCACTATCAATACTTGTTTTACCAAAGTAAAATAGCATTATAAAAAAGACAAACAAAATACCTTTTACATAAGAATATGAAAAATGTGGTTTGTTGAAAGAAACAAGCTTGTGAGTCAATTGTCAGCATAAGATCATGATTATTTGTTGTTGGAATATGAATTTCGCGTTTTGGTTCAATTATACTTTCATAAACTACACCAAACTATGGAGAAACATGTAAATACCTGATATGCTGTTTGCAGACCTGCGCCTATCGATGTTGCCCCTTCTGCTGTCGTTGGTAAGTATGATACGAGATTAGACCTGTCATCATCGGTTGATATTAAAGTAAGTCCTTTCACCAAAGATCCAGTATCACTGAACGTTACAATACCAACATAACTGTTATTTGGGAGTCCATACTTAATGAGTGAAGCCATGCTATCCCTTGTGTTTATTATTTGATCCTTTTAAATCATAAAAAAATGTTTATCAAATGGTGAATGTTTCGTTTTGTAGTTTCAATGAGTTAAGCAGATAGTTAATACACATTCTAAATTTGTTCATCTAGGCTGGTGTCATTTCCTTTTCGTGACTAAAAGATTTCTTAATCTTTCGTGATGTCAAACAAATTTTTTTTTGAAATTAATTCGGAGCTGCTGCTAAACGACTGTCAATCCTGATATTACATGTAGCGAGGAAATCGACTTGTTTTACCTTTATGCTCATAACGATTTATTTCATGTTTCTCCGGATTTCTTTTACAGACGATCCTGCTGAAATTTATTCCGGAGATCCGTGTCGTGTTAATTCAAATTAGTGTCAGACTTTCGTTCAGTTTTTGCGTCCCAAAACATTATAATCAGGTTTAGAATATACGATAACACGACCATGATGTCTCATAATGATAAAACAACAAATGATGACTATTGAAACTTCTTGAAGTGATTTTTTCAACATATTGTAATTGAAAACCTTCTATTCTACATTGTTACCGAATTGTTTTCAGGTTTCTCATACTAACGGCTAGTTATATCTGTAAAAGTCAGCAGACCTCTAAGTCTTCTATGCTAACATTTGGCAACACCTCTCGATTCCGGGAGACATGCGTAAAAATTGAAATATATCCGGAGTACTTGATTTCATCCGCGAATCTTATTATGCATTTTTGAAAAGTTGTATGTTCGTGAAATGTTTTGTAGACTCTATGTTGGTCTTTTGAGTCTGTTTTAAAATTTAACATGAAGTAGCATTTCCCTCTTCGATTTATTATTTTGTTGTTGTCCCTTTGAACTTTGTGTTTCTTTTCAAAGAATTTTCTAACATTTTATTTCATTCCAATTTTGTTTTTTTTATGTTCCGTGAGTCCCTTAGTAAAGCATGGTCTTTGCCATCTCTACTAAAGAATATAGACCCGCAACTTATCCCAAAGCACGAACACTTTAAAAAAAAAATAAATATATCATCTGAAAGAAAAAAAAAACCACCTTGTTCAAGCCATACACATTGAAATTAATATTTTATTTTGTTTCGTTGATATACATTTTATTGGTGCGAAAAAGATTAATTTAATTCACAGAGTTAGTTTGCCCAATGTAAAAAATACATTGTAAAGGACAATTATTATCTTTTTGTTTAAAAACATTACAAAAGATTTTCTTTTACTGACTGACGTGTGGTGCTTTTTTCTGTAACGTTGCCGGGATATTGGTTGGTTTTCATTTTGTCAAGGCGTGACCAATTGCGACTCAGTGTCAAATCAACTGTCAAATCAAACACTGTTTGCAACGCGGGGATGCTCATTATAGGTTTCAGAACGAGTCAGAATAAGATATATTGCTTGATGTAAACTCGATGGATTTCATTTCAATGTAATAAAAACGAGCTTTTGGCTAGTAGCTAGTTTATTAGTAGTATCATTGAAACCAAATAACGAGAGTTGATATCCAATTACCACGAGTTGTCAAACCTATTTCTCTTATCGTAAAATTATCTTTATCCTGGTGAAATATTTTCGATTTCACAAGCTTCATTGCAAATATAAGTCCGCTTACGGTATTTCGAATATTGTGTCAGTAGCCCAGACTACTGTTAACATAACAGACATTTTCAAGCTTTGTATACGCTTCAGAAAGGAATCAAATTTGACAAATATCATATTTTGAGGTGTTTTGTACATTATTGAAAAAAATTAAATTCTCAACCGACAAGGGGGAAATGTGACCTATGAAAATCATCATTGACCTAACGAACAGACAATGCAAATGCCGCAATGTCGTAATGTATTGCAGGATAGGCAATCCTAATTAAAAAAAAATTCGTATCACTTCTCATACCACACTCCGTTCAGTGTGATACAAGAAACATCTCTTTATGAGGGAAATAGATAACACGCCAAAACCATAAGAGAATACAATTTACATCATTATGAAATATGACCAAAACAGTCATGATTGTAGAATGCGAAGTCATAAAACGTTGATTTTGACAATATGAAATCGAGTTTAATTGATTTGGTAGTAAAGTGAACATTTATTATTCATTAGTTCACAGGTTACGTATAAAATACATTATGAGGTATATAAAGTAAGTTGCAATTTAAGCATGGTATCTATGGTGACTTTATTGTACTAAATATTTACTGCACTGAGATTGGATAGATTCAAAAAAGTTAAAAAAACAACATCTGAGTATATGTTTTAAACACGTGCATGACAAGGAATAAATATAATGAGTAAACACATTAGTCAGACTACACACTTACCCTCATACTTCCTGAAACATCAATTACAAGGCATATTTTGTGTTGTTGTGTCACTTTCAAAATACGGAAAGTTGGAACAGTATTCGCTGTTGCACTTCTAGGTACAGTGTCTAAAAGAACAAAAGTTTAATTGGATATAAGAAGATGTGGTATGAGTGCCAATGAGACAACTCTCCATCAAAGTCACAGTTTTTAAAAGTAAACCATTATAGGTCAAAGTACGGCCTGCAACACGGAGCCTTGGCTCACACCGAACAGCAAGCTATAAAGGGCCCCAAAAATGACTAGCGTAAAACCATTCAAACAGGAAAACCAACGGTCTAATCTATATAAAAAACAATAAACGAGAAACACTTATGAACCACATCAACAAACGACAGCCACTGAACATCAGGTTCCTGACTAAGGACAGGTGCAAAAAAATGCAGCGGGTTTTAACGTTTCAAAAGACAACAACCTTCACCCTACCTGAAACAATAGTGTAACATCACAACATAGAAAGACACACTAAAACATATCATTTGGAATGGCTTAACTCAATCAAAAGACATATTAACAAAAACAAGTGAACATACACTGAACGAATAAATTTGATCTATGACACAATGTAAATACAACATAGATGAAACAAGGGGGTTAGATGTAAAACAATATCAAAAAGACAACCATAACTTTGGACAAAATGCCGCCAAATGAAATAACGTACACAGGTAAATAAAAATAATTTTCTAGTAAGGTAAACATGGAGAACGGAAATAATTTTTACAAAATAAATAATTTTGTTGTTCCTAGTAAGAGATCAGAAGTGAAAATTTATCGTCATGCTAAACACTTATCAAAGGTGGTATATATTAAAAGTAGTGAGACTAGATATAACACTGAATAAGTAAACATAAAATAACAAAAATACATTACAAATTGTATAAACAGGTCAAATTAACACGAAAGTACGATTTGAGAGTACTCGCAGTTACTGAAAGCTAGATAAAAGCCAAAAACAATTAATAATAAAAAATCATGCAGCAGAGACTAAAATCAACTAAAACACATCCCAGGGATTTAGTGTTTTAACGTCATGGACAGTCAAAGAAGACATGACTTGTGCAATGCCAAAATAAAAGTATCGACAGGGCAGTAGGATATTTAGTGGTACCTGTTAATACAAATGTATAATGTAATATATAGATAGAGTAATCTCTATATAGAAAATGAACGTGGATGTGTTTTTATACATCCCAAAAAACCGTTTGAAAAGAATACAAATTTAATTATGTTTTAATTTGCTGATTACAAAATCGATATTTGTGCCAATGTAAACTATATTCAAAGATCTAATTACAAAATTGGTAAGATAACTTTTACTAATAAGTTTGTTTAAAGGTTCGATGAGTTTACACGGATTACATAGTGATTTCCGTGCTTTTATTATAATATTACCGTAAAATTTAGGATGTGAAATACCACTTTAATAAGTTTTCTACAGGTACAGCCAAATTTACTAATCAAATCTTTGTATCTATGAAAGAAGCATATTTAGCATTGGTCTTTAGAAAGTATCGTAGGATAAGGTAGCAGTTCACATACGAATGTGTTTGAAATGCCAAAACACAGTGAAATACGTTTAGGGATGTACTCAGGTCAGGTTTAGGAATTTTTGTCAATGATTGGACTCATAACACCCAATTTTTTTCATATAAGACTTCAATAGCTGATAAAAGGTCATGTACCAAAATTTAAGCAGATTCTAGATTTCTTTTCTTTCTATTTGAGACCCAAATAATATCAAATGCAAATATAAGGTAAGTCCGAATCAGCCTTTTCCCGTAATTATAAAAAAAATAAATATCTCGAAAAGAAGCTCCATGACCTATCAATATTTTTAGCTTATTTTGTTCCTTAACTAATGCTCTTCTGACTTATAGGATCAATTTTAAATTCTAGATTTTTTTAATTTCACCTAAGTACATCCTTAAGTGGATTTATTTTGCTTCAATAGGAAACATGGACTTTTTTCAAAACCAAAGTGTTAACGTAGGGTCATATCTGGCATGTTTTTGTTCAGTTGGTTTAGCGGTAACTGTTGTTGAGAGGAAGAGTTCTGAAAATCGGATCAATTAAATCCTTTTCTTGAACTCTTGATACCATATAGATTGTTTTTCATCAGAACAAAAGTAAATCATTTCGTATTGAACAGATTTTTTTTTCACTCCAAGAAGAAGCAAAATTTAATATTCCTCAGGGTTTAAATGTTGACTTTGACCACCGATGTCGGGCATTTTAAAATCTCGATCGACACCACAGTAACAACACTTGTCAAGGAACTTCCAAGTAATATATCTGTCAAGTTTGGTTGCAATTGTCTCAGTGATAATTTAGGAAGAACATCATTAAAAAATCCGACTAATTGGACCACTAATTGTCCCCTTGAAAACCATATCGGACTTTTCAGCGACGCCTAATTAATTACATTATATTCCTGTATGGTGATTTTATTATTTTTGATTCCTCTGATCTTGAAAAAAACTCCATTTAAAAAAAATCATATTGTCACACGTCTAACCAGACAAAATCATATCCAAATGAAAACTCTTTTTGGCGTTGTACTAGTAACCAATCGCCTTTAATTCATACTTTTCAAGCACATATGAAGCAATAATTGTAATTGCCCAATCAGACCGGAGTTCATATTTATGCACTATTCATTATCCTTTAACGGTCTAGTAACATTATCTCATTTGTCATTTATAATCTAATTTTCAAGTTAATTTGTTTGAAGATAATATGACTTTGAAGGATTTTTTTTAAGGCAAGCTATATTAAGCCTTACAGAAAAAAAACTTACTTTTAAAGTCGTTATGCTGCCGCATTATTTCCCATGCACTCCTGCCAGCACACCTTGAATTCTGTTTATTTGGAGCCAAATGATTGTGGTATGTTGTTGGATCAGAACTTTCCCCATCACAAAACATCGACATCTTAAATGAAGGCAACACAAGAAATTTAGTCGGATTTCTTTATTACAATTCTAAATTTGATTACGTTACTCTTATTACTCAAATATATCAATCAAAGAGGACGCTTACATTTTGCATACATTTTTTAAGGGACGTGTGTTTATCAAAGATCTGAAGTCGTTATTGAAACTCATGAGGTAAGACACATGGCTATTGTGAAAGAATGTGAAGACCTGGGAATGAATTTTGTCTCATTGCATGACAGCATGTCTTATTTCTATGTCTTGAATGTCAGTAGAGGGGACATATTGTTGTCAGGTCGGTTCTTTATAAAGTAAGGAAACGAGGTATGATTGCCAATAGACAACTATCCACCAAAGTTCAAATGAAGTGGATGTAAGCAATTATAGTCAACCGTACGGCCTTCAACAATGAGAAAAACCCATACCGTATAGTCGGCTATAAAAGGCCCCGACATAAAAAATATGAAACCATTCAATTGAGAAAACTAACGGCCAAATGTATAACAAAACAATTTACAAAAAAAAATGACCGACATGAACCAACGACAAACACTGAACTACAGGCTCCTAACTTGGGACAGGCATATAAAGAATGTGGCGGGGTTAAACATGTTAGTGAGCGCTCATCCCTCCTTCTTACCTGAGACAGTGGTGAAACACTACAACATAAGAACAGACTATAAAAATCAGTTGAAAAAGGCTTAACTCATCAATTCGATACAAAGCAGAACAATCAAACAAAAACACAGACCGAACGTGGCAGGACATTTATCCATCCTTCATCCCTAACAACACAAAGGACACTAAGTATAGATCTGAGAGTTCTCACAGTTACTGACAACTAGTTCAAAGCCAATAACAACTTATAATAAAATAAATCATGTATCTAAGACTAAAATATCAATCAGCACACATCCAACATCCAATGGATTTAGTATAAAGACGTCATTAACAGTCAGAGAAAAACATGACCTTGTGCAATGATAAAATAAAGCTATCGACAGATTGTAGTACCGTTAAAGTGCATAAGTGAATAACAAAACTATTTAGTATGATTTTAATTTACTAATAACAAAATCAATATTTATACCAACAAAAACAATTTTCAAAGATTTAATTACAGTGTTGAAATGGTAACCTTTTAGAATAAGTTTATTTAAAGGATTGATAAGTTTACCCGGATCGTATATAAATTTCCGGGCTCGGTAAACAACATCACCGTAAAATTTAGGATGTGCTATTCCGTCTTAAATTAGTTTTTTTTTACAGGTACAGCCAAACTTGCAAACAAAATCTTTGAAAATATTTAGTTAAGGTTTTGATTAATTTGTGGTAACGAAATCCCTGACTTAATAATTTACCAGAAATACATAGATTACGCTCTTGAAATCCAAAACGTCACTACAGACACGGGCATAACGAACGAACATCAACGTCCAAAAAAGGAAAATTAAGAATAGGGAAAGAAAAATCACCCCTTTTATCGTAAATTGTCTGTTCGTTTGTCCGTCCGTATCAAGTTAAAATTTATGTGATTATAGAAATAAGGAGATTTAGTATGATTACTAATGAGAAAACTATCAAACAGAAAAAAAGGACGAGAATTTAAACAACTATAGGGCACCGTATGGTCATGAAGTTATGGTAAGATCAACTGATTACACAGGATTATCATAATTTAAACATCTTAAAAACATATTCCTAATTAGAGTTTAGACTCATAAAAATGTGAAAGTGTGAACAGGGCATGGTGTCTTCTTCTTTACATATTTTTTCATCATTCTATATTCCGAAAGATCAAATTGATTAAAAAAAAAGTGAGAAAAAAAAAATCAAAGGAAAAACATAAATATTAAATAAGAAAAAAAAAATAAGAGTAGCCAATAGCTCACAAGTTTACAGAGAAAATGAAAAGACTAGACAACACTTAGGCTACCCCCCCCCCCCCCCACCCCCCCAAAAAAAAAAAAACAAAAAACAAAAAACAAAAACAAAACAAAATCAAAACAAAACAAAACAACTAAAAAACTGGAATGAATTAAGGTGTTTTGACATAGATAAAACAAAAGCAAGAAAGACAAACAAAAGACTAACGGCACTATAACTGTTGTTCATGACATCCACAATTCCAGATGTCATATTTGGCGATTAATCAAAAACAAGTGAATTAAGATAGAATGATCAAAAATATTCTATATCGATCAATAAAATCATAAAGGAGGCCGTGCACCTTATCTTTACCATAAGGAACACCGTTTCTTAAGCACCTTTTGAAGTGTCAAACCTTTATCAAGGAAATCCTTATGAGAAATATTAAGATCGCTTTTTATATTATACTTTGTTATAAGTTTACATGGATTGGTCAAAAGCGGAACAATATTTTCTTTTTTAGTGTATACAAGGAAGCATATAAAATCATATAAAATGTATTTTTTATACATGATTCTTGTGAAAAAGATATTATACTTACTGTTTTTACATATGCATGGCCCATAATGGATGCCTTAGATGTTGCTCTATGGTCATTATGGGGTCTAAAGTGGCAGTTATGATCGGGTTTACCATTTTTATCAACAGAACACTCTCCTTTGTATTTTAAATCATATATATCACCTTCCATATTTGTTGTGCATCTTAAATAAATGTATTTAATATACAGACATTTTTGATAAATTGAAAGTCGAGAGTCGATTTTTGAGATATTTTACATATAGATTATTTCAAGCACAAATATTTGGTGGACTTTATCTATATATCTTTTTATTGAACTGATTTATGGATATCCCTTAATAAAAAGAGTACCCTTGATTCAACAAATATTTTGTATATCCCTAAATGATTAAAGGATATCAGTTATGAATGACGATATTCCTAATAAAATTATTAATTGATTGATTGTTGGTTGCTTAACGTTCAGTGGCAAATAAATTCATGTAATGTAAGATAATGAATTAACAATACATACAGGTATATTATTTAATATGTTTTTATTAAGAAAGCCTTTAATTTATTGATGAACATATTTAATTCATTCAAAATTAATACAATTAACTTCAAAGGATTTAATAATATCAATGAATCATATAAGGATATCCTTAGATCATTTAAAGAAAGCCTTAAATCAGTCAAGAACGTCTTAAAATGCAGATTATTACGGATATCCTTCATTGAGTTATTTATACACATAATTAATTTAAGGATATCAGTAAATCATATAGGGATATCACAAATGAGGTTATATTTCTTTTAGTTCATTGAAGAATATCCATAAAACATTTAAGGATATCATAAATTCTTGCTTAACTATTGATATCCTTATTTCATTTATTGATATCATATATTTATCAAAGAATATAATTGATACAATTAAATTATGGATAATGAATTATTTTACGATTTTCTTAGCGATATCATCTATGAATATCAATCAATCGTAAAAGAATATCATGTATTCAATAAAGTTTATCCTTCATTAGACTTTAATGATATCAAACTATCAAGATAGGATACCACATTTAATTGAGTTGAAAATATCCATAAATAAATAATTAAATGAATTAACTAACCATTTAATAATATGCATTTCTTATTTTAGGACATCATTAAAAAATAATTCAATTATAAAAATCTAATGGAGAATAATACTCAATATCCCTATATGAAAACATATAAATCATTTATTCATAAACGGATATCGCTTATTCATTTGAAGATATAATTAATTCTTTTAGTGGTATACTGTTATCATTTCAGGATATTCTTTTCTAGCTAAATTGTTTTTTGATATCCCTAATTCAATCGTGGACTTGCTTATATCTAATAAGGCTATCTATTAATGTTGAAGTGACATGTTGATATTTATTATTTATTTAAGGATATCCTTTATTCATTTATGGACTTCATTAAATCATTTAGGATATTTTTATTCGATATCCCAGAATGCCACATATAAGCGATATCCTTCATTCGTTTAGATGTAACCTTAGTTCGTTTAGAGATAACCCTAATTCATTAAAGATATCCATCAACCATATAGGGATATCCCAAACTCATGTTGGATTGTGGATAATTTATTCTTTGTTAATGGATTTAAACTATGAATAAATAGATGAGATGACTAGGTAATTTGTTGATGCTTGACTCCTTATATATTCTTATTAGCAAGTTTGTTGTAAATGTTTATGCGTATTGTAAAGCACAATCAAATAGCCCAACCTAAAATCACGTTTGAGAGGACCCATCATTTAAATATTTCAACAATCGACTTTCGACTCTCAATTGCACACTGTCATTATTTAGATAATGAACTCCTTATAGAATATATTGCCATAAAATGAATTTTACACCGACCCCCCTCCCCATTCTTAGCTTTTATCTTGAGTAGTATAATAGACATAGAAGAACAGTTAGAATTACCAGCAAAACAAGTTTACAAAGGTCAAACATGACTAAAAGCATTCATTGACTCTACATATGAGCTAATACCCATTTAAAAAAGATATATTCAGTCAATGTGGAATAACCTAGGGCGCTGTATTACAAAAAGGGTCTCAAAAGGATAAAAAAATATCAGAAAACAATGTAAGGTTAATTTTCTCTGAGGCATTTTCGTACCGTCATTGTCATTGTAAATGAGCAATATATAAACTGTAAAATTAGAAAATATATTTATTTCAAAACTCAACTATTGTGTGAAAAAAGCCCTTGATATGGCTCTAATAGAAATGTTCTAAATCTTTCGGTACACTAAATGTACATTTTCTATATAATTTCACCAGGCACGTTCATAACAAACATTGGATCATTACATTAAGAATAAAACCTCACAGATAGCTTTATAATCAAAAGGAATTAAAAATGCATTAATTTTATTCAAAATATAAAATCAATCTTACCTTACTTTTAATTTATGTTCACCTTACATTAGATACAAGAAATACTTTATATTATTAGTAAGGGATTTTTAAAAGGGTTTACCCATCGTATACAGCTCATATTCAGAAGGAGGCGAGAAATCATTGGTCCTGTTATTTACATAAATATAGAATTAAATTAAATCAGTTGCAAGTTTTTTTTTTGTCACTTGCAAATATAATATCCATGCAGTTAATATTGTACGAGGAAGTTGCTGTATTTGTTTTGTTTCTTTTGTTTTATTGGAATTAAAACAGTTTCAATGACATTTTGTGTAATCAGTTTCTTTAAAAAAGTTTAAATCTTCTATTCAAAAAAGATAATTTAAACGGTTTTTACATACTTATTGCAATATGGGCATTACTCTTTTTTAAAAGCTTTTATTGTTTTCATCATTAAATAAAAACATATAATAATATTACACAAAATTGTAAGAACATTTGTGAGTAAATAAAGGCAACAGTAGTATACCGCTGTTCAATAGTCATAATTCGATTAAGCAAAAAACAAATCCGGGTAACAAACTTACTCTAATATAGATAGCCGTATTTCTATCTAGATATCAAACACAAACATCAGAAATCCCGACTTCGTATAATGACCAAATAAAAAACTAATGGGTAGTCAATGACATTATACACCATAAAAAAGGAAAAACAAGATTTTTTATTTCAAAATATTGCCAAAATGTGTTCCGAATGCTTCACTTCCGCAGAGATCATTGCCCAGGAGATCATAATTAAAAACTTATGGATATTACTGAAAAGACTAGTGTTAATGTTTTTCTTAAATCATATCTTCTGTTTTAATAGAACTTTACCTTACAGGTTCATATTTTCCATCGTATTGATAAAACTTCACCAACTGGTCATTTTCTATTACAGTTGGGTATTCATCATAAATGCCCCATCTGTAGTGTCCCCATTCGTGAGTAAATACTATGCCTGCAATATTAAACGAAGTAATGACAAAATTTACAATTATTGTATCAATCATATTTTTGATTTTGTGCTTTAAACAAATGCAATGCAGTAGTAATTTGTTTTGTGTGTGTGCTTTAAGATTAAGTTGCGACAGAAAACTGTTAGTACATCTTTTCCTGTTTTTTTCTCAGAAAGCCGAAAACCTTGGTATGGGTTAAACAAAGAAAACATAACAGGTAGAGTAAACCCGAAGGTTTGGGCATGTACTTTGGTTCAAGGCGGTGCTTCATTATGATTTGACCGAACCAATTCGCCTAATTCTTATGAAATATTCATCGCAAAATCTGAACCAACTCCGTCAAAACTCACTGTCTTGACCATAGATATTCTTGACATCTGACCTTGACAAAGTTAGAAGATCAAAGTCAATGTTACCATGAATTTCAAACGTATACCTTGTAATGGGATGAATTTAGAAACCGGAATATATCTAAAGAAAAAGTGAATGGTGAAAAATGTTTATGACAGAATTGTCTTAAATTGCTATAACTCGGCAACTTTTAGTCATTAGGGACCTAGTGTATTCCTCTTTGGACTTTTTGATATATGATCTAAGGAATAATTAAAACAAAGTATCAAGGGCCAAGGTCATATATGTCGAACCGGAAGTAACTGTTTTCCGAAAAGTACCACGCAATCATATACTATGGGACTCAGAAGGACATATGCTATCAATTTGAACAATTTTATGTTATCATATGAATTTGGATTATGTCTCTTATTTGTGAAGATACACGTGCAATACCTTTTGCATAGTTTATCTGAAATTGATTTTCTCATTGACAAATATATCTCCGCTATTTTTCATACTTAGGTAAATGATGAATATCTATTAAAAGTTGAATGTAATATGTTTAATTTAATTAATTTTGATTATTTGTTTTTCTTTAATTAAAGAAAATACTTTATGCACATTTTAGACGAGAAATTGGTAGCCATATATCAAATGTTAGGATCTTTAATATATTGACCGAGAAAAGAAAGAGGCAATAGATTTTATTTAAATGAGGCATTTATACTAGTATGTTTAAGGCAGATTTTTATTGTGGCCAACTCCAAATACTTGGAGTATAACGTTACCAATAGGCATAGACTCGGCTGCGTATTCATACACAGCAGCAAAATGGAGATTAGTTTGAAGTCGGTTCTTTTAAAAACAAATAGAAAGATTATTACACGTATATGTGAATTTTTTTTTAAATCCCAGAAATTTCAAATCCTTGATTTTAAATAGGTATGTTTTTTTACAAAATCAATGAAATAAATGAGAGCCAGTTTTTGTTTTACAAATTTACAAGTTAAATTCAGGAATGCAGAAATGTTTTTAATTAGATTATTTTTTATTAGAATAATTTAGTACTACACCATGGTTTCTAGTTTTTTTGGACTTGCTCTCCAAAGATTTTATTCAACTCCCGATCGCTCTTGTTCATCGTACCCATACAAATAAGGTATCGCTGGTATTGTTATACTGGAGACCTTGGCATCGTGAACAATGAACAACTTAGAGAGTTGTAAGCCATAGATCCGACATATCAATTCCCAAGCTCATCAATTTGAAAAAGAACCCAGGTTACTGATTGATGTAGTTGAGGACTATGACACAAAAATGATAAAAGCGCAAGCCAGATGAACTAAAACTAGACACATTATTTAAATAGATTAAAGATGTTCGGTCACGCATTCAGAAGCTCATTCAATATCTACGATGTACAAGAACAAATGGGTTTCTGACCCTGTCAAGAAGCAAGAGGTTGTGGATGCTGTGTCCTCTCTTCACAACACATATGTTGTTGTTCCAGAAGATAAAGCCTCACACAATGTTGTTTTATACGTAAAACATATTATTTGGAATGTCTAACAAATGCAAAACAAAGAATCCCAGATATACCCTTAAATCATTCAAAAAAGAAAAGATTTTAGAAATCACAAATCCGTCCTTCTCTCCATTGGTAATAACATCAAAAGGACGAAGAAAATCTCCCCCTTTTATACTGGATACCTAAAATTCACAAAAATCCGTATGTGGAACGATATATAACCGGTTTGTCAATACATTGTATGTTCAACTTAACAATTTTCTAAACTTCTTGTAACCTTGTTTTCTAAAGAAAATATTGTGGTGAGCTATATTCAACCAATGGTGTCATTCAGATGTAGAATCGTAAAAATTCTAACGATCTAATCAAAAACCTTTAATCATAATCTTTACAATTTTGTAGGTTTTTACATTTTACACTTCTGTTTCCTGTGTAAAACTCAATAAACGATACATCAACCCATTAACAGAACTTTTTTCTACAAAAATGGGAATCGTAGATAAAAATTACTTCTCATGAAAAATCTTACTTTGTGTAGAACAACACTGATTCCAACAACAAATACACCAAAGATAATATTTTCAAAATGGTGGACATTTTAAAGGAAAACATATTTGTTGAGTTTGGTTGATATATCAATAGACAGTCGGTACTCTAATGGGGAATAATGTTGCATCCCTACTGGCCGATCGGTTTTTGTACTCAAATGAAGCAGAATGCATACAGAACTTTCTGAAAGACGAAAAGAAAAAAAAAACATGTTGCTTAGTTCTTTTGTTTCACCTTTTGATTTATTGATGATTTCATTTAACTGAATAGTCTTCATTTCACCTAGTGCTTACATCTCATTTACCTAAGTGATCTTGAGATTGAGGATGCTACCTAAACGAGAAGGTCTGTTTCATATCTAGATCTTTTCTTTGATACTGACAGTGGTGGACGATTTCAATCTAGAATCAATAACAAACTTGATGATTTCAACTTTCCAATTGTCAATTTTCCATTTTATACCAGCTAACTATCCTCTAATAAAACCGTACGTCATTTATACAGGATGAGCAGTTATCCACTGTAGCATTTATTTGACACATTAATATTATAAAATATAGTCACAGGACACGTTGACTGTAGATTTCGCAAAAAAAAAAATAACCTAACAGATCCACTAATGCCGAGGTTGCTGTTAACATCCTCCATCATCAAAGAAAGATCTGAGTAGGACATCTATTCCAAGTCAGCTCAACTCAGCTAAAAAATGTCGAAATTTTGCATTTTTCCTACAGCAAATATCTGTTCATGATTAAAATCAAATTTACCAAGTGGTCTGTAAATTCCAGGCATAGATGGTCTTTCACAATAGAAAATGTAAATACCATACATATAAAGCTCTTAATGACAAGAATTAAACAAAGTAACACATACTACAAAAAGTGTATTCAAAGTCCAAAGTTCCCCATCAACATTAACATGTTGCAGGGTTACAACTAACCATATATATTATCTCGATCACTGGATAAATAACGGCTACAGAAAAAAATCAAAGTAAAAAAGGATTTTAACTCTATTTTGTCGGTTATACAATTTGTTTACCGATACTATGTATCTGTGTCTCAACTTAAATTTTCCCGATCGTAGATCATAAGATATCAAGAAATTTGTCTGATTTGAAAGTTGAACGATTGTGCCCTATTCAATTCCACCAATCGTTTACCGAGTCTTGGTTTGTCAGCGGAGGTTGATGCATTCATAGCAAGAGACTCTTTCACTCATTGGATCTAGTTCCGTTTGGAGTTCATAGGACCCCACTTAATTTGGTATATTGAAAACAGATTTTTATTGATTTGCGTCTAAAGAACATAAGTAAATTATCACCTCTTATTAAGTGAGAACAAAATATGGCGGTATGATGCGAATGTTTCAGGAGAATCATTTTAACACTTATACGCTATGAATCATAAAATAAAGACAGGTTTAAGAAACGCAAAACTGAATAAAACCATATAACTGAAAGTAAGCACAGGGTACTTAATATGGTAATATAGTAGTCACACTGTCTTACACTTTAATGTCAACTACTGTACTTCGAAGTGTTCCAACGTAATTTACCTACAGAAAAAAACCACGGTTTTGTACTACAATGCCATTTGTGTGCAATGATCAAAGCAACAGTAACGAAAAGTTGCGGTAATACGAATTCGTATATCATTTCTCATTGAAAGTTCCGAAAAGTTGTGCCAAATAAGGATTATGCAATCTATGTTTTTGAAAGGGGAAAGGGGGGGGGGGGGGGTGGGGGTGGGGGGGGGGGGGGGGGGGGTGGGGGGGGGGGTAAACCTTAGTGCCTAAATTCAACATCTTATATACACTAAATTTACAAAAATTAACATATTAATGATATTCGTGTCAAGAGAAAAGTATTGACTGCTGGACCGGTGATATCATCGGAGAGGAAACGACCACCAGCATTGGAATCAAACAAGTGGTTAAAAAACTCTTCAAAGATACACGGGTTTTAATTTGGCACACAAGACGTGCGTTTCTTGTACATAAGAGTCATCAGTGGCGCTCGAAACAAACCAGTTAGAAGGCCAAATGGACTCAACAGATCGCTAAAAAGCACAAACAACAACTAAAATAAAACAATAGACACAAGCACGGATATAAGAGTAGTCGCAGTTACTGAAAGCTAGTTCAAAGCCAATTTCAACTATAACTGGTAAATCATTAAGTCAGAAATATCCTTGCCTCAAATTACTCAAAACCTTTACTAAATTCTTTCAAGGATACAAATACTTGGTTTGGAAGTTTTCTATTAGTTGTTAATGGCTTTGAACTAGCGTTCAGTAACTGCGAATACCCTAAAATGTGTACTTTCTGTCTAAGTGTTTTGTTAGTTTCGGGTTTATATGATCCGTTCATCCTATTTTGACTCTTTCCAAATTCAAGAGTCTATCCTAAATTGAGGTAAAATATATGGCCTTCCAAATACCGTTTCGATTCCTAACATCACTGAAGAGACATTAATTGTCGAAATCCGGATATGGTGTACAAATTTTTTCACCTCATGTTTGCGGTATACCATCTTTTCCGCAAGTTTTTTGTTTTCTGTTTTGTAATAAATTAATGATAAGATCTATTTTTTTAACATCAGTTGTTCGACCCGCTAGTCAAATGAGTTTTGTTAAAATATACCTTTTCACCCATTTGGTCTTTTGGAAAATGTTGTTTGTGCAGTTTTTAGACCCCTCTAACAAGAAATTTGTTTTGCATGCACACGTATAAAAATTGCGGTTTTTATCCAACGCAATCATAGGTTTGAACGTTGTTTTCAATTTAGACTTGTATATATATATATATATTTATCCAACGCAATCATAGGTTTGAACGTTGGTTTCAATTTAGACTTGTTTATATATGTATATATATATATATATATATATATATATATATATATATTGTATATATATATATATATAAATATCAGCTATAGTTAGTTGAGGGGATAAGGCGTCTGCGCAATGCTAGGCAGTGTTGTCGTAGAAGTAAGAAGTGAAAAGTACAGGTTCCAGCCCCGCTCGGGGAGGAAGTAAAGAATCAGATCTACTCTAACATTGTTAGGTTGATTTTAGGCACTTTATATATATAGAATTCAATAAAAAAAAGATGTGGCTGTTATACGTTAATGAGACAGCAACCAACGACAAAATAATCCAAAGTCATCTTAAGGGCAACATACAGTCTTCATAAATATTATGTCATGCTCAAAATTTGGTGTAAACAAAGGTTTCCCGTTCAACTATCACTACTATTGACGAATAAACTGTTTAAGTATATAGTACTTTTGCACTTACTGCTTTTGAATCCAAAAATGTCCAGTCATTGTGACTAATTCATAAATACTGAACTTAAATCAACAGTTACAAACGTTGGTTGCTTTCAGTCTAAAAGACAAATTACACCATGTGCACACAAAATCCTATTGTAGAGTACTGTTAAAAACATGTGAATAGCATGATGAGCTGAAGTAATCTGCTAATAATGGATATTACATCTCATTATGATTTTTGAAGTATAATAATTATTTCAAGGAACAATTATATAGCTCATGAAAAACAAGTATTTATACATCCCCTGCTTTCAAGGTTTTGGTTTTGAACGTTGAATATTATTTATTGTTAACACATGGAATAACCTCTTTTGTATGAACATATTGCACTACAAAGGTGGGAAGAAAGTTATAATATAGAAATAAGGGATGAAAAATGGAAAAATATTTATTCACTGGCTTTTAAATGTACTATATATAGAAAGAAAACTTCAAGCTTTCCAAAACAAAATTTTACTTAGAATAGTCTCTCATAATTATCTTCTTGAAAAATATAAATTTTCTGCTACTAATTAATGTGCTAGTTGTAAAGATCTAGAAACTATAGAACATACATTTTTAATGCACAGAAATAAAATTTAGAATTTTCTAAGTGGTGGTATTTTGTTTTTGGAGTAAGAAAATTTTTTAATAACCACAGCGTAATTTTTGGCGTTTTGAATTCTGATAACTTAGTTTTAAATTATTCTACAGGCAAAGTATTACAATAATTATGTAAAGATCTCACAATTAGACAGACTGTTAATATTTGTGCAAGCTTTCCTTAAATTTTTGAAAAGACGGTTGGAAACTTTAGAATATTTATATCTTTCTGAAGACAAACACGAGTTATTTGTCGACAGATTTTTTTTTTTGGGGGGGGGGGGGGGGGTACCATACATATACTGTACATTCAAATCGTAGACTTGTAAATTTTTAATATTTTAAATAACAATAACAATGTCATCAATTTAGTTTTATTCACTTATGTATGTATGCACTGTAGTTTGAACACCAAAAAGATCAATTAAAAAAAAAGAACAGTTTACTAATTTATTTATCGAGCTATTGATCTAAGAATTGATCTCCGTCATATTCACTTATTCTATTTACATTGTTACTAACTAATCGCGTGTGTAGAAAAAATGACAAAATACCTTACCTAGATTCCCATAATTACCACTGTTTCCCGCATTGAGCACATCAGTCGTAAAATGAATAAAAATTCCTTCAACACCACATTTACCATATGTCCTTGCAAATGGATTTTTCTTATCTGGATACTCTCCAATTTTCACATGGGCATTTTTGGCTATAGACGAACTAATAAAGCTGTAATCGCCAGTATTTGACCATGTAGACGGAATGGTAATAGTTATCTCCTTTAAGTACACATGATACTTTGTAGCAATGTACATTTTGTGTGATGCTTCAGTCAACCAGTTCTGTCAAAATTAGGCACAATTATAAGTAACAGTAAACATATTAACACATGATTGAAGGTCAATTGAGTGTTCAAAATATCCAAGTCTTGATTTTTATCCATACTTCTAATATATGGAATTTTAAAGTTTTGTTTTACCTAGAAAAACAATATAAAAGAAATTTTTAAATGTTACTTCTTTTCAAATCCTCCTTATTGTCCGTTTTCAGATTTTTCATAGTATAAAAAGACAAAAATCAGTACTCATATTTCTTTTCAATTTTGCAAAGAGATATTATCTATGCAGGGTTAAGACAAGACTTGCAAACAAATGCAAGGAAAATAAAGTTATGACTGCAAGGATTTTAGTTTATGGTATGCAATTGGCTAATTAGTTTATATCTATCACAATGAAAATTGGAAGTGCAAGTTTATTTTAGTGCATGGTTTAATTTTTAGGATATAAATTCCTCTCAACAATGTAACATATCCAACGTGCTGCAACTTATATGTTATACGTACAAACAAAACGAGATGTGAGGTATACGCCAATTAGACAGAAACCTAACGACAAAAAGAACCAAGAGACATATCGATGTCGACTTACAGTCTTCATCAACAGAAAGTTGTCAATACGACAAGTCAAGCTTTATATCAAGCCAAAATCTAAATATATTGTGAAGACAATTCTGAGGCTATCAAAGACCTTCCATATGTATTTGTTTAAAAACTTCTGTTAAGAATATGGACTAGGTACATGTAGCTTTAGAATATATATATACATATTTCTCTAATTCTTACCCGATTTATCCTTTTCCTGACCTGTTGATTATTTTTATTTAACCAACGTGTGGTTCCTTTGATCTCAGTTGTTCATTGGTCAAAATTCGATTATGACGTCAAATTTTCTTGCTTTCCTCTGAAATTCCTAATGTGACGTCATGAAAAAAGGCGACCATGCCTGATGACGTCACATAGAAAGAATACATCTTTCTGCAAGTCATTCAAAAAGAGGGATTAAGATTTTCTGCATATCGTCTAAAAATCATTAGAGAAACAGATTCCACCACCAAATCTCGTGCAATACGATATTTATCCACTCTCGACAGTTAAATTTTAAATATTAAAAACGGTCGGCGAGCCTCGCGTTTTAAAATTAAAAATTTAACTGTCCCGAGTGGATAAATATCGTATCAGACTCGATGCAGTGGTAGAATCTATACATATAAACTCAATAATTTACAAAAATTTAAATAAAGAGTTTTATGAAAATAAGGAGATGTAATATGAATGCCAACGAGAAAATTTCCTACCAGGGACCAAATGACGATGATGTTATATACTATAGGTCACCTTACGTAAGACCTTAAATAAAAACAAAAATCCGTTTGATCTACCATTTGTGATGTAGTTTACATACGTCAATTCACAATAGATATGCTCTGTAAAAGTTGAATGTGAATGTCTTAGATATCATTCAATTTTTGCTGGTTTCTTTTTGTTACATTATTTGTCATTTGAATATGATTAAGAATTATTAAGAAACTAAGGTCTCAACTCCCTCAGGCAAAGATGACCTTAGATGGATTTGGCTATAATAAAAGTATAAAAAAAATACCGAACTCCAAGGTAAATTCAAATAGGGGGAAGTCCATATCAACTGACAAAATCAAACGTTAATCTTTATCAACCAACGGAACGAATGGAACACAACTGTTTAATTGATTTGTTACAGACATATTCCGAAGAAAACTGTGAGTTTAACCTGGTTTAGTACCTAACTGAACCTCTCACTTGTATGACAGTTGTTTATAGTTACAACCCAAACAGACAAACTAGGTAAATCTGATTATAATTGAAATTTAGCAGCCAAAACTGTAACATACTTCACCGACATACAGCACAGCTGGTCAAATAGCTCTCCAAATGTTTCGGTTTTTATACATCTTTGGCTATTCCTGATGAAGGTAAATCTAGAAACACGCTTTGGACGCATGAGATTAATAAAGTGTTGTTTTCATTTTTTTAAATAATATGAATATTAACTTCTCATTCCGCACTTATACGAAATATATGTGCATCGAAGAGGGAGACTTTCCTGTTGTTCTACATCGGGTTAAATCAACTACAGTGACTTTATATTATGTGTTTCGCCCTTTCCTTTACAATTCAATAGAAAACCTTAACCAATTAATGGTTGTATCATCTTATCGAATTATTCATTTGATAAGAAACCTGCTCGAGAAGAGCCACAATAGAAGTCAAAATGTCAGATCCTGAAGAAAAAGAAAGTTTTCTTACAATCTTATGAAACTATGGCTATGTGTTCACCACTACTGGACAGCACAGCCGTTTCCGTTAAATTTTTACAATACAGGCGCCATAGCGGAAAATTAATTGCTGTTTGAAAAAGTAGGTAAAGTATACCAATTTATTCGAATGTTACAAAATAAGCTGGCTTTAAATAAATGAAATACTGCACATTGAAATTGTACTTTCAAACTGTCGACGTCCAGTAACATGAAAGGAACGTAGATATCTTTGAATTGTTATTCAATTATCACATTTAAACTTCGTATCATTAGTTTTGACAAATGTTTTCTCCTATACCAAAAGTGGACTTTTTTCAAACTACTATTCAGTGAAAATTTTAGCTTAAGTTTCTAACGGAGATAATTACACACAATCTATTTCTCCTTTTTCTGAAGAATTATCTCCAAAGGAAGGTTAATTAGAGTATTTCTAGGGAAAGATATATTTCGCTGATAATTTTAATTCTTATTTGGTGCTCAAAACTAGTTACTAACATCTACGTCATTGGGCTTTTGGTGGATACCTGTCTCATTGGCAATGTAACCCATTTTAAAGGACAAAAAGGAGGAAGAAACCACATAAGTAACAAAAGTGTTTTTACAAGTATGTACGAATAGAGATGATATATACATTCACAAATATTTGTGAAAGGGCAATATGTCTTTGTATTACGCGAGGCAATAACAATGTACCCTTAAATATCTGACCAGTTAAACAGTCAAACGTCTTCTAATGAAGAAAGTCTATCAAAGATTTAAACTGGTCCCTAAACACTTTTCCTGAGTAGAAGTAATGCAATTGGAGGGGACGAAATTCAAAATCTATAATATAAAATGACTGGTTTTTAATTTTTTACATGTTGACTAAAAAGGGAAAAGGAACACTAACCTAACGTTTAATAAATTATTATTATTCATCCAAAGACACACAAATATTCATACCTGTATTGTAGTTAATAAATGCTGATCTTCCGGAACCTTGTCGGAAATAGAAACCACAATTCCTTGGTATCCATTTTGCTGAATGTGTATTGTCATAAAGACAGAATCTATGAACAAACCAAAAACTATAATTTGAATGGTTCGGACGCAGCAAAAAAATGTCATCTTTAATTTAAACAAATAAGAGAGACACACAGAAAGAATGCTCTATATAAGTGTACTCTCAACTAATACCGACACGCACATTTTTTTGTTTTTGTTAAAAACGCGTTATCGAGAAGGATATCGCTAAGTGACAAAACACTGAAAGAAAAGATTAAGGATTGCCCATTCATTTAAAAAAAAAAACCTGTGCCAAATTTCTTTCGTAGTTTATATCACAAAGCAAAGCTATAAATATCGACAACGCATTTAGTAACCATGTATGACAACGAGTGACGCTTTGACTACCTACCTTGATTTTTTGTGTTTTTCATCCGACCGATCATGTTTATAAGTAAAAGAGAGACGAAAGATACCAAATGACTATTCATACTCATAAGTCGAAAACAAACTGACAGTGCCATGGCAAAAAACGTTAAACGACGAAATCACAAAACACAACATTGAAAACTAAAGACTGAGCAACACAAACCCAACATTAAATCCGGTGGTTTAAAGTATATCCATTTGATTTATACCAACCCTAGAGTAGGTATTTTCACAGTTGCTTGATGGATGAACTTATAAATTAACTGATGAGAATCAAGGATTACCTTTTGATAAATTATTTAGTTGAGTTTTATATCAGAAATGCACTTACATAATGTGAAACATTTTATGTAATTATCTTAGCTTATTTTACGGAAAATTAACTTCGTTGTCGACAATTGTGTTGTATTATAACGACCTGATATAAAATAATAACCCCAATTACAAATAATACAAAGAAAGACATTTTGTAAAAGTAATTAAAAAAGTATTTGACACTGTTCTTAATGTGCTGTCAAGCATACTACCTTAGCAATATCACACGGAAATACCACGTTAGACGTTCATGTCTTACCTAAGCTTAGAGAAGGACCATTGTAAGTGTATTTTGTTCTAATGTGTGCCTTGATAATCCTATATTTCTGTTAAAAATTCGCAATAGATTCGATTATTTAAACTATTACAATTATTGTCTTTGGTATCTTTGTAGATACACCCTTAAGATAAAAACAATTCAGATAATGGATAAAATTGATTGATTGATTGGTCCTTGATTAACGTCCACCGCCAAATATTTTTTACATATCCTTGACGAAAAAAAAAAATTAACAATCAATCCAAAAAGTGTGTTCTACAAAGTGGGTCGATCGGTATGAAAGGATCATCAGATATAACGTCTCCATTACGCATGGACGTGACTGTGTATTTATACACACCTATAATGGTTTACTTTTATAGATTTTGACTTGGATGGAGAGTTGTCTCATTGACCTACAATGGTTTACTTTTATAGATTTTGACTTGGATGGAGAGTTGTCTCATTGACCTACAATGGTTTACTTTTATAGATTTTGACTTGGATGGAGAGTTGTCTCATTGACCTATAATGGTTTACTTTTATAGATTTTGACTTGGATGGAGAGTTGTCTCATTGACCTACAATGGTTTACTTTTATAGATTTTGACTTGGATGGAGAGTTGTCTCATTGACCTATAATGGTTTACTTTTATAGATTTTGACTTGGATGGAGAGTTGTCTCATTGACCTATAATGGTTTACTTTTATAGATTTTGACTTGGATGGAGAGTTGTCTCATTGGCACTCATACCACATCTTCTTATATCTACACACAGCTAAACGGACACCCTCTTTAACACGTGTGAACCCTCATGGGTTGTACTGCCGAGGCTAGTGCAGATGGCAATATTTCTTTACTCCTGACTACAATTGGGGGATACACTTGGAGTTGTATTGGTATTTCTGATAAGGTTCCGGATAACCAGAATCTTTTTACAATTAAACATTTTTAAAGATATTTCATACTATATCAAGATGACCTTGGATGGTTGTGGCTATTCTGTTTATGCTCTTTATGATCATATAACTCTTTAATTATTGATAAATCCCCAGCTTTCAAATGTATTGTTTTACGCGTTCCTGATGAAGGTAAATCCAGAAAGCGTTTCGAACGCACACTATCTTTGTTCGTATAGTATCAAAGTCTCACATTCATTCTAGTACTACCCTTTTTATTATTGACCTACTAGGATATATTTAAGGGACCAGAAAGTATACAACTTGTCAATTATCGATATGTATAAAATCCTGGATTCTCCACAAACAAATGATGATTGCATATTTTAACTACAATAAAATTGTTATTTCCTGATAAGGAAATATTTCTCTCAACATTTTAAAATTAATTGAATATGTCTATCTCCATTTTGACCCAGCGTTTGAAACAGCATAGTTTTTTACCATGCACAAAACGACCAATTATGTTCTATAGGCAACTGTGATAAGTCTCAGCGTAAGAAATTTAGATAAAGTATTTAAAAGACCAGTTAAAAAAAATGTATTTTACGGTGATAGAAAAATAGAAAGATATACAATAGTAAATAATCTAAATCTTTCGCCGATGTAATATTTTGGATCCTCAATGCTCTTCAACTTCGTATTTTATTTGACCTTTTTTATCTTTCTTGATTCGAGCGCCACTGATGAGTCTTTTATAGACGAAACGAGGGTCTCGCGTACTAAATTTTAACCTGGTATCAATGATGGGTTTATTTACAACCACTGGGTCGATGCCACTGATGTTGAAGGTTCTCGCCCGAGGGTATCACTTCTGTTGACATGAATTATCATCAATATGGTCATAATTATAAATCAACAAAACTATGAATTTTCGAAATACTAAGGATGTTCTACCCCGGAATAGATTACCTAAGCTGCATATGGCAAATCCTTTCAGAATTGTGGGTCCTCGATGCTCTTCAACTTCGTACTTTATTATGGCCTTTTTCACTTTTTTTAATCGAGCGTCATTGATGAGTCCGTCTGGTCAAATTAAAAAAGCATTATTTTAAGTCGGCAATTTAAATAAGAATACAACATAAGCTCTAGGCGAGGTTTTGAACCGAAAGACATAATAAATTAAAGACATGCATATACTATACAGTGCGTGCAGACACAATAGGACAACACCAGACGCAATAGTTTACACATAAACAATTGTCACATAAAAGAATTAGTCAAGCATACACGCATATATAATTAAGTTAAGCAAGCACATACAGTAACAACTTAAACTATTAGCATTTAAAATAATCAAAACTCTAGAAGAAGAATTTCTGGTTTAGAAAATTTTAAGCCTGTTATCTATGCGTTTATATCGATTAAAATAAAACGGCTCAATAGGAGACAGCGAAATAAATATACATACAATTTCAATGAAATTTTATTCTTGTCAGGAATATGTATTTTGCGTATTTTTCTTTTTGAAGTCGTGTTTTTGAACCCAAGAATTTCGGGTTAAAAATATAACTAAATGTTATACATTATACATTATACATTATGAATTATATGTTTTTATCGGAAGGAAAATACTTATTGGGGATGATAAAGCCATAAACTTTTATTATATTTTCAAATATTAAGTCGTTATTAATCAAATCCGACTGTTTTTGTGTTGCCAAATGTTATGTACATGATTATAAGGATTAAAACAATTTACTTTTAAGCAAATTGTAGCCGGGTTAACGGATTTAATAATGATCACAAATTTACAATTTGAACAATTTTTTTTTTACATGTTTCTTTAAATCTTATTTACGTCGACGAAATGTTATGAGGAAATTTCTTTGAATATTTAGGTGAAAAGAACAGCACATACCTCAAGCGTGTTTACAGGGATGCATAGAAAGTTATTATTTTAGAAAGTTATTATTTAAACGCTATTGTAGATGTATGACCAGGTTGTTGGTCACCTCTGTCATATTTATTAGTTTCGGGGGAAACTAGCGGTATCTTAAATAAAGTCCAAGTCGCTGGAAAGTTTACATATTTATTTCGCATCCATATATTTCAATCATTAAAACATAACTGAATAACAACATAGAAACAAATCTAAAATACAAATTCAAAAGACTGATTGACCTGCGGAATATCAACCAATCAAATATCTTTTCATTAAATAATATTAATTCGCGTTTTGCCGAAAGCGGGGATTACGGATTAAAAACATGCTTCGTATAAGTTTGTCAAGAATGGCTTTCGGCAGTTATCACTTAGTGTCAAATTATCTATGTTCTTTGTTACAGAACCTTTTATCTTAAAGACGGATATAAATCTTTGATAATTAATCTGAATGAAAGGATTATAGTTAAGTGTAAAATACAAGTAACTTTTGAATAGCGTAAAATACAATAAACTTATAAATTATTAAAACGCAATGAGGACTCGGAATAATAATAAAAAGCTAACATTTATAAAAATATACAAAATCCTAAATGTGAACTTTGAACGAACAATTGTCGGGTCATATTACCCCGTCGCTCCTTATCTGATACTCCCGTATCAGCATGTGTAAATTATGAACGAATAATAATTTAAAATGCATAGAGGAGAAATTAAAAAGAGCAAAATTTATTTACATTATTTACAAGCGCGCTATTACGAACATTTGTCGTCTAAAATTTTCTCTCTCAAAATTTCTTTAAAGTACATGTAATTAAATCTAAGTGTGTCTAAATACCAACACGAATAAATCACGAATCAATATGTATAAAACGAACAGTCTGTAATATTTGCCACCATGCAAATAACAAATGAACACTGTGTCTCTTTCACAGAAGTTCGATACTTGAATCTATATAGAAATATAAAACAAATCAGTAATATGTATATAAACATTGTTATTGCATTAAGTCATTGTTTTGTCAAATAAATCTGTTTTCCTCACCAACTCTATTTCCACCTGGAATGAACACTAAGAATATCCCGGAGATTCTCTTCAATCTGAATTTTGTTACTACATATTTTAAGTTTCAGGAACATTTGTCCGAACTAGTTCTGTAGCACTATATGCCTATTTATGTACACATCTTTGTACTAATACATCGAACACATCTATGTGAATGTAACCATTTATCAAAATGTCGCTTATACCTGATATCTGTTTTAAACAAAAAACGAAAAGTGTAGATCATTTCGATACTTGAAAAGGCATTGTATGGAACATCGCAATACTGATTGTAAAGCTAAAAATATATATTTGCAATTAAATAAAATCTCAACATACTCATCTAAAAATATTATGATAACTTGGCTACTAATAT